ACGTCAAAAACTTGAGTGGTGCTGAAATGAGGGGCTCAAAGGGAGGTCTGCTTAGGGCTGATAAAACAACCGACAGGTCCCAATCGGGCGGTTCCCTTGAACGGGCCCTGGGCCTCTGATTATGGAAAGCAGTAAACAGTCTCCTAATAATGGGACAATCGGCTAAACTTGACCCCAAAGAGTTTTCTATGGCAGGGGACAAGGCTGACCTGTAGCTAACGATCGCTGCGTAGGACAGACCCACTTCGTCAAACAAGTGGACAAAGAAGTCTGCTACCTGGCCGATAGAGGGATGGCATGGAACAATCTCCCTTCCACTACACCAACCGGTGTATGCTCGCCACTTCGAGTCGTAGGCAGCGTTGGTAGAATCCCTGTTCGCCCTGGCCAGGACATTGGCAGCCGGCTTAGATAGACCTTTCGGCTGCGCGAGTCTACTGAGAGCCTCCATGCGTGTAAGTGGTACACTGCTGGGCTTGTTGGTAGTGTGCCGTCCGGTTGGGACAGCAAGTCCGGTATGTCCGGCAGTACTACCGGTGTTTCGACTATCATTTCCAGCAGGAGCGGAAACCAGGCCTTGGTCGGCCAATTGGTTGCCACCAAAGTTAATATGCAGGTGGGCTCTTGTTTCTCCAGTACCTGGTGAATTAGCGGGAAGGGGGGAAAGGCGTACGCATCCATGTGGGACCAGGGGATCGATAAGGTGTCCACGGCCCATGCTCCTGGTGTCGGCAGGAGTGTTACGACGTCGGGAGCTTGCCGTACCGGGGTGCAGCGAACAGGTCTATCTTTGGACCGTCCCACAGCCGAAACAGTCTGGAGGCTACCCACTGGGGGATCTGCCACTCCGTGTTCTGGAGACGGAGCCGCCTCGAAAGGGCGTCTGCCAGACCGTTTCTTACCCCTGGAAGGTGGTGTGCGGTTAGCTCCACATTGTATTCCAGGCACCAAAGGAGAATTTGCTCTGTTAAGGCCGACAACGATGGGGAACGCGTCCCCCCTCCTTGTTGATGTAGGAGACCACCGCTGTGTTGTGGTCTTGAACTTCGGGTCGAAAGTGTGAAAGTGCTAAGTGCACTACTTTCAGCTCGAGCCAGTTGATATGGTGGTCCCGAACCCATTGCGGGGGCCATATTCCTTGGGCTTGTTTGTCCAATAGGTGCGCTCCCCACTCTTGGAGGGAGGCGTCTGTTACCAGAGTCATGGTTGTGACGAGTGGGTCCAAGGGGACCCCCTGTCTGAGGTTGGTCAGTGACGACCACTAGGACAGGGTTCCCTTTACTTGGTCCGGGATCAATACCCGTCTGTTTAGTTTCCATAGGTGAGCTCGGTATTCCAATAACAAGCATTGGACTGGGCGGTTGCGTAGTGCGGCCTGGGGAACTACCTTTCGAACGGAGGTCATCATTCCGATGAGCCGCATTAGTTTTCGAAGAGACACTGAAGGTACGCTGACTAGGCGTTCTGCTAGGTTGCTTAGCACTAGGCAACGCGCT